GAATGTAAAATGGTACAACCACTATTGAAAACAATATAGCACCTCCTTAAAAACCTAGAAATAGAAATATCATATGATCTAGCAATCCCACTCCTAGGAATATATCCTAAAGTTCATTGCAGCATTATTCACAATAGCAAAAAGATGGAAACAACTTAAGTGCCAATCAACAGAAGACTGGATTAACAAGTTATGGTACTTACACACAATGGAATATGCAACAATAAAGCACAACGATGAATCCATGAAACTTCTCACAACAGGGATGAATCTGGAGGGCACTATGCTGAGTAAAATAAGTCAATCACAAATAGAAAAATATTGTGTGAGACCACTATTATAAAAACCAAAGAGATGGTTTACACACAGAAAAAAATAATCTTTGATGGTTGCGAGGGAGGGGAGGGGTGTGGAGGGGAAATCACTAACTAGATAGTAGACAAGTGTCAAATTTAGTGAAGGGAATGACAACACACAATACAGGGTAAGTCAGCAAAACTTGACCAAGGCAAAGCCTTAGAAGCTTCTGAGACACATCCAAACATCCTGAGGGACCGAGTTACCAGGGCTGAAGCCTGGGGGCCATGGTCTCGGGGGACATGTAGGTCAATTGGCATAACAGCTCATAAAGAAAATGTTCTACTTTGGTGAGTAGCGTCTAAGGTCTTAAAAACTTGCAAGGGGTCATCTAAAATACGTCTGTTGGTCCCATCACATTTAGAGCAAAGGAGAATGTAGAAAAACAAAGACACAAGGAAAGCATTAGCCCAGAGGACTGATGGACCACATGAACCACAGCCTCCACCAGCCTGAGCCCAGAACAACTAGAGGGTGCCTGGCTACCTCCACCGACTGCTCTGACAGGGATCATAACAGAGGATCCCCTCAGAGTGGGAGAAAAATGCAGAACAAAATTCAAATTCACAAGAAAAGGCCAGACTTATTGGTCTGACAGAGAATGGAGGAACCCTGAGACCATGGCTGCCAGATGCCCTGCTAACTCAGAACTAAAGCCATTCCTGAAGTCCACCTTTCAGCCAAAGATTAGACAAAGTCTATAAAATAAACAATAAAACAGGTGAGGAACATGCTTCTTAGTTCAATCAAGTATATGAGACCAAATGGCAACACTTGCCAAAAGCAAAGACAAGAAGGCAGGAGGGGACAGGAAACCTGGATGAATGGACATGTGGGATGTAAAGGGAAAGGGGGGAGTGCTGACACATTGCAGGGATTGCAACCAATGTCAAAATAATTTTGTGTATATATTTTTGAATGAAAAACTAACTTGTGCTATAAACTTTCACCTAAAACACACACACACAAAGAGCAAAATAGACTCAGAGACACACACAGGGAGAGGACATATGCCAAGGAAAGTCCAGGAATACTAACGACCTCTCCCTAGAGCCACAAGTTGAATTCAGGCTCCTATCCTCCTGAAATAGTGGAAAATAAATTTCTGTTCTTTAAAGCCACCCGCTTGTGTTTTTTCTATTACAGCAGCACTTAGTATCTAAGATACCAACTATGACCCAAACAGTCTTCACTGGGAGCTTGACAGTGATCACTTGGAGCTAGCGGAAATGCCCGAAACCCTGTCTTCAGTGGCCTGTCCTGTTTTTTCTGAGTTTGGTGCTCTGGCATCTTCTCTTGATGAAGGGGTTTATTCTTCTTTGTCTCAGACACTTCCTTCATCTTTGGGGCCTCTTCTATTTTATATTCTTCCGAACATAAAACTGTTTGCTACCTTTTATATCCTTATTTAACTGAAGTCTTGAACTGTTTTAAGGTATTTAAATATGAAAGTGAAAGTAAAAGAAGGCAGAGTGAGTTGAAGCCATTTATGTTTGATTCATCCTATGAATGGTTGGTAAAATGAAAGTCTTTAAAATGCATTCTTAATTTTACTTGTAAATTGCACTGCATAAAAATAAAACAGCAAGAGTGTTCAAATATAGTTAGACTATTTTAATAAATTTTGGCATTTTCAAAATGGTAACTAGCTGAAAATATCAGCCAACTCCCATCCTTAAAAAAAGGTCTGAAAAAGTATATAAACTTAGATCCATCAGCTCCACTCTAGGCTTTGCCTAGAGAAATGAGCACAAGGTGATATGGACCAGAATGTTCAGGGCTTACGATCCATAATAGTAAAAATTTCGAAGCAAACTCATACTCTTTAGCTAGAAAATGGATAGGTACATTGTGGTTATTTATATAATGAAATACTATGATGAGGTTAAAATTAATGAATTAGACCTGTTTATTTCATCATAGACAAATCTCAAACATAGTGTTGAATGGACAAAGCAAGTTGTAGAATGATCTGTATCTATTACTATTGTTTCTTTATTTTTTTTTTTTAAAGAATCTGAAGCAGATATGGCAAAGAGTTACAATTTTATTAAACTGGGTGGTGGATACATTAGATATTTTTGTAATTTTTGTTAATTTGAAATATTTTGTAATTTTTAAAAAATCCTACCAAAAAACCTGTTGCTAAACAAACGAAAGAGATGTATTTGGTTGTTTCTGTTTGCCTAAAGATCAGAGTGCATTTATAGTGTAGCCCTGTTCTCATACATTCCTGGCGTCTGAGCTCAAAAACGCTCTTGAAACAAAAGCCCACCAATTCTAAACCGCACTAACTACTCTGCTGCAAAAATACCCAAAGAGTTAAAAGGAAATTCATACACACACCCCAAGCAAAAATTTTAAAGCATACCTATTTTATACCCTATTTGTATTTATAGGAACCCTACAACAATTATCAATGTAAATATCTTTCTGAAAGAGCAGTTAAACACATCAGAATTTCTGTTCATTCAGATGGTCTGTTACATGTAATGCTGGTATGGGCTTTCTGCTAGGACTTCAAAGAACCCTCACTAAAGAATTAGACATTATATTGGTAAAAAGTGACTAAACGAAGGTTAGATGATTTGAAGATGTGAAATAGTCTTAATAAAGACTCTGGAAATTTAATGCCAGACACTTCGCAGGTGGATATGGTTTCAGATGCTCAGGATAGCCCCCGATTTTATTTAAATGATTATAACTGAAATGCTGACTTTACAAATGAAAGCAAATTGCAAAATCCAACTGTAGCACAATTATAAAACTCTTCTAATTAAGTTCTGTATATCTTGATTCATTAACAAAGAAACATTGGAGCAGGGTAGAACTATTTTGCTTGGGTGCTAGTTTCTGTGTGTTCATGTATTAAAGTATGCATTTATTTTAAAAAATGAATTTTTGCAGGGATTGCAACTGATGTCACACAACAATCTGTGTATAAATTTTTTGAATGAAAAAGTAATTTGCATTATAAACTTTAACCTAAAACAAAATAAAATTAAAGGAATGAATTTTTATCAAATACTTTGGATCTAAAGAGTTAACAAAAATGCAATTTGTTTATATCTTTGTTTAAGGAAGTTTAAAAGCCTTCCTATTTGTATCATCCACTTGATTTCTAACATAAAGAGCAAAGAAATTATATTTCCCTTTGCATGTGGCTATTGGTTTGCAGATTTCTTCGATTGTAGAACATTAAGCTTAAAGTCAAAAAGTCTCAGTTTGAGTCTCTAACCAGCTACGAGATCTCAGATAACTCATTTTCTCTAAATGTCAGTTTCCGCAAATGCAAAACGGGGTTGACACGTGTTTGAAGTAACTGCACATTTTAATATTTACTATGTCTATAGAAAAGAATACAGTATCAGGTAGGGGTTGGGGGCACACTGGGTTCATATCCTGGGTCTAACACTTACTTGTGTGATCTTGGCAAACTCTGAGAGGAAACTTTATTTCTCAGAACCCCAGTTTCTCCATTTACAAAATAGGAATATGAGTGGCTACCTTTATAGGGATGTTGTGAGGATTAAATCAGATGGTACACAGAAAGAGTGTAAGACAGTGCCTGCTACTATTAAATATGTGGGAGAGATTATGAAAATAGGTGACGGGGACCAAAAGATTACCAAATGTGAATTATGACAGCTAAGCATTTGAAATAAATAATTAAAATGAATTATTCTTTCATTTAAATGTACCTTGATTATAGCCCTTCCGTTCCTAATTATACAAAATTTAAAAACAAGTAGATGAAGAAGTTGGAGACAAGGGAAAACATGGAGTGTAAAATCCAAGCCAGGATCAGATTAGCACCCAGAAATACTTGCTGTAAGTTCCTGTAAAATTGACAGAATATGAGCCATGATTTAAACTTTAACTTCCAAGGGACCAAATCAGTGTCTGCTTAGTCTAACATACAAAGTTCTCCCTGCTTTCCAGAATTCAAACTTTATTTACCAACAGATTTTTGTTCTATCCTGATATATCCTGGTCTGTACCTTCTTGTCTGTAATCCAAGAGAAACAAAGCGCCTCTACTCTGAACCAGCTGCAGGGTTTCTTAAGTGATCTGGTCTCGCCAGTCTGACAACTGGGCATCAGCCAGAGCAAAAGTGCATAACCTGGACACCAAAGATGGGCTTCAGGGAGTCCAAACACGTAAGAAAATGTGTTTGAAACAACATGTTTAAACACTCTTCTCAGGAGGGCATCCAGAACTTTCTTCTCAAAGAAGTCTGTGACCTACAGACTCATGGTCTGTGTTGACAATGGCCTCTACCAGCAGTGAAGACCTTGGCACGAAGTAGATTAAAAGGAAGACCAAGTAAAGAAGACTTCACAGACTTGTTCTGCTTAGCTATGAATAGAATACTGGTGGTTGGCTGTCTGTTACTATGCAAACAAACAGTTATTTTGTCTTCTTAATTTAAGAAAAAAAAACCTGATAAATGTAGACAGTTTTTTAAAAGTTCATACAGTACCAAAAAGGAAGACAGTGAAAATAGATCTCCCTCCCACTCTCATCCCCTCATCACACACTTCCCCTCCCTAGAGCAACCACTTTTATCAATTTCTTGAATCTCCCTGCAGAGAATATCTCTCTAACAGACATTAAATAGAAGTGTTCGTAAAATAACTTACCCGTCACTAGATTCTGAGCTATGACACATGACTGTGAATCACTGTTGAGGATGACTTTAGGCAGATGTCCTGGGATCAAAGTAGCCTCCAGTCTGGGTCCTGAGGCAAGACTGGCAGGATTTTGTAAGAACTCCTATTCCCAACAAGGAATTTGGTCTAGAATTAATGTTCTTCGCTACCCTGCTTACCCACCAAGTTAAACTTCTCTCTTCTCCACACCCAGACAAACCATACGTGTATCATAGCCATTGCTGTAGAGTCAATTCCAACTTATAGCAATCCTATAAAACAAAGTAGAACTGCCCCATAGGGTTTCCAAGTCCTTTTTTACGGAAAAGGACTGTCACACCTTTCTCCCACAGAGTACCTGGTGAGTTCGAACCACCAACCTTTCGGTTAGCAACCAAATGCTTAATGCACCACCAGGGCTGTTTACATGTATCATGATTGATCCTATATAGTGTCTGGTAGAGCACCTGACGCTTAGCAATCTCTCAACAACTTTCCATTTCTCTCTACTCTTACGTTCTGCTGCAAGATCTATGGCCTCTTCTGTGCCTGTATTACCACAATCTTTCCACAGCACTTTATAGTACTGAGCATCCCTTTTCCTATTTCGTGAAGCTCACCTCTCCTGCTTTGACTTTCTTTACACAGCAATGTTCTTTCTGTACTTCATTTGCCTTCTCTCTCTCTGCCCTCCTACCTAATAGGCATGTCTCCTGTCCCTCAGTTTCATCCTTCCTTTCTCTATTCACTGTCTCTGGATCATCTCCTCTATTCCTGTGGCTTTAATTATCAAGTCCTGTTATCTTGTATCTCCGCCCTCTAATTCCAATTCCAGACCCAAATTTCTAACTGCCTAATAGACCACCCCCCCAAAAAAAAAGCCCAAACCAGTTGCTGTTGAGTCAATTACAACTCATAGCCACCCCAAGCCTTTTAGAGTAGACCTGTTCTCCACAGAGTTTTCAATGGCTGTGATCTTTGGAGACAGATCATGAGGACTTTCTTTCAAGCCACTTCTGGGTGGATTTGAACTGCCAACCTTTCTGTTAGTAGCTATGTGTTTAACCATTCGTGCCACTCAGGGACTCCTAATAGACAAGTCCCTCTAACTATCCCAAAGGCATATGGGATATGCAAACATACCAGAAGCTGATGTGATGATCTCTTCCTTCCAAAGCCATTCCTCTCCTTCTATTCCCTATCTCAGTTTATAGTCTTTGAGGTAAACTCTTACTTTGAATGAACCATGCTTCTTAGCAGTTACACCCTTGTGAGTTCCTCTTCCACATCTGTTTCTGGGCTTGGCCAATGCGGCTTTAGAAAGCATGATGCAAGCAGAAGCTTAATAAGCACTTGCATGAGTGCATCTATATTCAGCGTTACAGCCCCATCTACTATCTGACTGTAACCACATGAAAGATCTCAAGCAAGACTGCCAGAAGAACCACCCCGCTGATCCCCAGCCAACCCTCAGAATCATGAGCAAAGATGGTGATTGCTATATTAAGCCACTAAGTTTTGGGGTGGGTTGTTAATGCAGCAATAAATAAGCAAAGCAACATTGTATACCACTCAGGCATTGAAGCTACAAACTCAAGTGTTATCTTGAATTTTTCCTAACCTACTAACTCCTCACATCTCATTGTTAACCAAGCCATGCAGAGTTTACTTCCTAAATATATCTCAGATCTGTGGACATGTCCTCATTCTACACTCCACTGCCTTAGTTGAGGCCCTCATAACTGTACCTTCTAAAATATAAATCAAAGTGAGCCATTTTTCCCCTTATTAAGCTCTTTAAAAGTACCACATTGACAAGGAAAAACTTCCAAATTCCCTACATGTTGCCCATGGTTCTTCATATTATGGAAATCGTACATTCTTCCTTCATCTCTTTTCACTGATTCTTCCTCCATTCTCATGGGCCACATAAAGCTGTTCACCATTTCATCTAATGACCCTGCAGGGCACACCACCATGCTCTTTTCTTCCTTTTTCTCTCATTCTTACTTCCAACCAATCTTGTCTATCTGGTGAATGAGTCTCACCTCAAATGTGCCTTGACCTCAGAAAGCTTCCACAACTCCCTCCCCAATAATCCACCGTTTTCTCTTCTGCATTTATAGAGAAGCACGTCCATGCTTCTTTTACAGGATCAGTCACTTTTCAGTGTGGTTATTTGCTTGGGAGTCAGGAACGTGAGGTCTGTAAGGGCAGAAATTGTGTTTTATTCATCTTCACATCCCCTGCACTAAGATCAGGGCCTGACATGAAGTAGGCAGGTCTTCAAGAAATATTTGCTGAACATACTGTTTTGGGAGCCCACTTTAATTTCATAATGTTACATTCTCTCTATCTGAAGCCTCTTGGTGTAGTAGAAAGAGTGAGATGTGGGGTCTAATCTCTGGTCTGCTAGGACCTTTCAGCATCTATTATCTGTAAGAAATGTTGGGAAAGTAACTGATTTAAAAAAAAGACAAATCTGTTGCTGCTGAGTCAATTCTGATTCACAGCGACTCTACAGGACCGAGTAGAACTGCCCCCACAGGATTTCAAACTGCAGACCTTTTGGTTAGCAACTGAGCTCTTAACCACTGTACTACCAAGGCTCCAATTGATAGTATATTGAAATTATTATGAGGCATTCTTTCACACTTTGTGAGCACATAGCAGGCACTTAACGAAGGGTGGCTGTTACTCTAACTTATTTTGATCCTGTGGCCCCTGATGGTCATACCCCTACCAAATGTTGTGTGCATGTGCTGCACACTTACCTGAGAAATCAGTAGTGCAGTCAGTGATCACCTGAGCAGCACAACATGTTCTCTAGAAAATTTCCTGGCCCAAACTTCCCACTAGGATCATGTTACTAATCAATGGCAGTATTTAATACTGATTGCCATAATCTCTTATGCCCTTATTTCAATGATAGTCACAAACTATGGAGGTTATATTTATCTTTCTTCATTCATAGATTTCTTGTTCAGACACGCTTACTATTTTATACTGCAGTTATTCAGCACATGTATAAAAAAAATCAAACTGCCAATAAAGAGAATAATGTATTTTCAGAACCAGCCATTAAATATTAAGTGCTAAAACTTAAATTTTCTTATTATTAAAAAATTATATTTGTATAGATATATATAGTAGCATACATTATAGATCTCTATTCCAATCATGGGAGTCCCTGGGTGGTACACACGGTTAATGTTTTCTGCTGCTAACTGAAAGTTTGGAAGTTCGAGCCCACTCAGAGGTGCCTCCAAAGAAAGTCTTGGCAATCTACTTCTAAAAAATCAACAATTAAAAACTCTGTAGGGCACAATTCTACTCTGACACATACAGGATTGTCACGAGTCAGAATTAAATTGATGGCAACTGGTTTTTTTTTTTTTTTAATCAGTTATACAGAAATAAAGAGGTGGATGAGTTTCTGCTTTGAACTGAGAGATACTTTGGTTAGAAAGCTTCAGTTGTTAATAAACATTACCTGCTTTGACAACACAAAGAGCTATCTGGGCCTCCAATAAGTTAGATGACTAGATAACTGGCCCCAGGTTAAATCTCAAGGACAAGGGAATGATCATTTATTGGGGGCTACCAAATGAGTGCACCATGCCTGGCACGTAACAGAAGAGAAAACTCTAAGAGGGAAAGCATCTTGCTCAACGGCCTAGCTAGTACAGAGCCCCACGGAAATTTGGGCCTAGGCCTGGGTGGCCCCAAAGCTCATGGTCTTCCTCTTTCTCTCACCCCTCACTGTCTCTTGAAGACTGAATGACTCCTTTAACATCATCCTGCTACCATTCTTCATATCACAAAGTATGAAATCTGAGACCCATCTTCCTTCTCACTACAATACTGGGAAACTAATTCTTTACCAGAACTCTCTCTATGAAGAACAAGTAGAGCTGAAAAGAAATCAGTCCAAAAACGAATTTTCAGCATTTTATCCATGGTTGGAATGAATTGGAGGCTAAAAGGACAGGCCTTTTTTTTTTGCACATCTACAAATAACCTTGACCATTTTCTGAAAATAACTTTTTTGGTGCTAATCCCAAAGTATGTGGTTTTGTTTGGTCGCTTGTTGGTTTGTGGGTAGTTAGTTTAGGATGGGATAAGCCATTTTATTGTTAAGGGGAGGACATCATTCCCTTCTTCCTTGCTCAAGGCTTGTCAGAGTGCTAACCATGTGGAAAGGGCTCAGCTGTCACTTGCAAGGAGCCGTTCTCAGGCTGTGTAGACTGTAGAAGAGTTCTGAGTCAATCCATCATTTCCCAGTCCTGACCCACCTCCTAGGGTCACACTGCCAAACCCTGCCCAACAACTCCCTAAATTCCCCAGGATTTCCCTTTCTCAACAAGATGGCATTCTCTGGGGGGAGCTCTTAGAATTGTTTAGGGTTGGGTCTAGAGAAGGAAAGTCCTTTAAATCAATTTGAATTTTAAAGGAGGAAGTAAAAATAGAAAAGAAAAACAACAGTGAGGCAAAGCCAGCTGTTTCCTACAAACATTTGACAACTTCGCAGCTGTTCACTGTCCTTTTGCCCTAGTGGAAACTGGCTTCCTCCCCATACTTGAATGTTGCTTTTCCAGTCTCCCTTGCTTATTCTGACAGCTGTAACATTGCCACTGTCATTTCCTTTAAAAGGCAAGCTCCCAAGACATGTTCAGTGAGCTCTGGGACAACTTAGTTGGTTCTTTACTCAATTATGATCAAAGCTATACTTTTCTTATAATAGTCCTACAGGATAAGACTTCACAAACACACCCTCAGGGAGACAGTTGACTCAGCACGAGGGTTTCTCTGGGGCTAGGAGTGTTTATGGGCTTATATCCAAACCCAGAGCCCTTCAGGCTCGGTCTTTCCTGAGAGTAAATCTCCAGTTTTCTTTGAGGTGTTTAATTGCTTCTTTCATAGACATTCAGCAAATCCTCTGGTATCAGCTCTGCCTACAGTGGGACCCAGTGCCCTGTTTAATCCTCATAGTTACCCAATGAGGGAGATGGTATTATAATCTTCATTTCACAGATAAACAAAGTGAAGTTTAGAAGCACTTAGGAGTGTGCCCAAGTCATCTTTCTGCCTTCAAGGCCTGTTCTCTAAACCAGTGTTCCAAAATGTCTCACTTCAGAATCACAAAAGTTGCTTGTTAAAAACATAGACCCCTAGCCAGCCAACTCAGAGATCCTGAATCAGTGAATATGGATTAGAGCCCAGCAATCTGTATTAACAGCCATCTCTGATGAAGCCAAGGTTTAGACTTTCACAGTTGTACTCTACATCTTTATATGCTCTGCTTGACACAGCCCTTCCATAGTTCTTAACTCTGATTAACAACACCTTCCCTGCTGGGTTCTCAGAATGCTCTGTTCTTATGGCTAGTACAGTAGGAACCATACTGTGTTAAAATCAGCTCTTTACATGTCTGTCTCCCTGACTGGGGGCAGGAGAGTGGGCTTCTTGATGTCCAGGATCCTGTTTCTTCTGGATTTCATCTTTCTGTATTGCTCTTTCCCCTGATCTTTGTCTAGCTGGCCCTCGACTTAAAAGCCTCAGCTTATCATTTAGGCCTCAACTTAAAAGCCACTCCACTCTCTGAGAAAACTTTTCTGACAACCTAATTAAGTAGCCCACCACTCATTCTCTGTTATATCACTCTATTTTGTAGTCCAGCATAAAGTACAGTGTCTGGCACATAGTAGGCACTCAATTAGAACTGGATGATCCAAAAGGTACACTAAGTATATTATTAGATTACCAGAAAAACAGAAGCACCAAACAGTTTTTGAAGAAGCTGATGTGCTTATATTTTTAAACTATAGAAGAAGTCTTAGGAAAAATTAGGATCCTGTTGATCTTCCTTCCTCTTACATTATGGACTAGTGTTATTTTTATATAGGATTACATATTGGAAATGGGCTCCATAATACGTTGGGGCTTTGAGCCTCTGAAGGTTTCAATTTAGTATTCTGTATAGTGTATGTATACTAATGTCTTTATTCTCCAAAACATTCTACTGGGAATTTGACAGGTATTATTATCCAAACCCATCTTGAAGAAGAAATAAATAGAAGCACAAAATGGAGTAGAAAGAATATTGAGCTGACAAAAAAAAAAACCTTCCTAGTCCCAAATTTCAAAATTTTGTTTATTATGTATATGAGATTAATGAGTTGAATATTAAACAATGAGTTTGTTGCCTGCATGCAAAAAAACCTCTGTAACACTGAAGAATCTAAATACTCTCCAGAAGTTTAACTTGGACAAGATCTTCATCATGCTGAAGCTCACTTCAGTTTTCTTACCTACAAAACAAGGGAACCAAACTAGATACCCGTAAGACTGGGAACACCTAAAAATTAAACAATTTTATGAATTGTCCAAGATACATTGTGATAGTGAGGATCCAAAAAACTGTTTGAATCAGAACTTTTCACTGAGGCTTTTCTTCCTAATTAAAGTGATTGGTGATTCTATCTAATAAAAAAATTGTCTGGCATAATTTATACTTCTCAAAATGTTACTTGTTATTCTATAAGGGCCTGAGTTTGCCTCATATTAGACTTATTGGTTGTCTTAGTTACCTAGTGCTATAGATTGAATTGTGTCCCCTAAAAATGTGTGTCAGCTTGGCTAAGCCATGATTCCCGGTGTTGTGTGATTATCCACCATTTTGTCATCTGATGTGATTTTCCTATGTGTTGTAAATCCTGCCTCTATGATATTAATAAAGCAGAATTAGAGGCAGTTAAATTAATGAGGCAGGACTCAATCTACAAGATTAGGTTGTGTCTTAAGTCAATCTCTTTTGAGATAAAAGAGAGAAGAAGGCAGAAAGACAGGGAGGCCTCATACTACCAAGAAAGCAGTGCCGGAAGCAGAGTTTGTCCTTTGGATCCGAGGTTCCTGTGCATAGAAGTTCTTAGACCAAGGGAAAACTGATGATAAAGACCTTCCTCCAGAGCCAACACAGAGAGAAAGCCTTCCCCTGGAGCTGGTACCCTGAATTCGGACTTGTAGCCTCCTAGACTGTGAGAGAAAAAAATTTCTCTTTGTTAAAGCCATCCACTTTTGGTATTTCTGTTATAGCAGCACTAGATAACTAAGACACCTCGTGCTTCTGTAACAAAAGAACAAGAGTTGGTTTTAAAGAACAGAAATTTATTTTCACACAGTTTTGGAGGCTAAAATTCTAAATCAGGGTCTTGTCCGTGTCAATTCCTTCTGTTAGCCTCTCTCCTAGTTTCTGATGTCTGCTAGTGATTCTTGGCATTCCTTTGCTTATAGAGGATCCTCACATGTCATCTGTCTTCCTCTGTGTGTGTGTGTGTGTGTGTGTGTGTGTGTGTGTGTGTGTGCGTGTCTGTGTCTACTCTGGTCTTTTTATAACTCAGAATGGTTAGGTTCATAATCCACCCTACACTGGTATGATCTCAACTGATTGATCAATTATATTAGATTGCATTACATTCCATGTAAGTAATTACATTAGATTACATTATGGAAGATAATCTGCTCTACACATGGTCAACTGATTTAATCACATGTGACTACTCCATGACAGCAACTAGACAAGTGTTTGCCCAAACCACTTGACCCATAGCCTAGCCAAGTTGACATATAAAGTTAACCATCACACTGCTCTTTGACTTCTTATATTATTTAAGAGAAATTTAGAAAGGCACAGGGCTCCATATCCATTGCTACCACCTTTGTCTAAGCCACCACCGTCTTGTGCCTCAACCCCTGTAATGGACTCCTACCTGGTCTTTTTCCACTTTTGCTTCATTATGACTCCTTCTTTACATAGCCCCCAGGGTGATCTTTTTTTTTTTTTTTTTAATTGTACTTCAGGTGAAGGCTTACAGAACAAAGAGTTTCTCATTAAACAGTAGTACACATATTGTTTTACGACATTGGTTAACAACCCCACGACATGTCGACCTTCTCCCTTCTTGATCTTTTTTTTTTTTTTTTGGTGAAAATAAACATAGCCAAAGATACACCCAGGGTGATCTTTTAAAAACAAGTTAGATTACATCAGTCCTGGTTTAAAATCCTTTAGTTACTTCTTTTCACTTTTAGAGTAAAATCCAAATCGCTTATCCTTGTCTTCAAGGCTCCCATGATGCCCGATCTAGCCCCTACTTTCTCTTTGATTTACTCACCTACTACTCTCCCTCTCATAT